AGCCATTGAGCTGACGTGCCAGGCAGTGAGGCCATCCTTGACTATCCAGCCCCAGTAGGGCCAGCCCAGAGAAGACCCACCCAACTAACCTAAAGGTTGTGACCTAATAAATAACTTTTAAGCAAAAAAATAAAAAATAGAAAAGCTTGTACCCTTGCTGGTGTAGCTCAGTAGATTGAGCATGGGCCTGTGAACCAAACCACCATGGTTCGATTCCCAGTTAGGACACACGCCTGAGTTGCAGGCCAGTTCCCAGCAGGGGACGCATGAGAGGCAACCATACATTGATATTCCTCTCCCTCTCTCCTTCCTTTCCCCTCTAAAGATAAATAAATAAAATCTTTAAAAAAATAGAAAAATAAAAAATAAATAAAAATTAGAAAAGCTTGTGAACTGGAATAATCTAGGAAAGCTTCAAAAGGAAGTAGAATCCCATTGGAGGGCTGGGTTTAGATATGTGAATGCTCAAAAATTTCCTAGTAACAGTATTGTCATTTGGCCTAGAATTACAATCCCTGAAATAATGTACACCCAGGCTTTATAGGAAACTAAGGTTCAGAACACTTCTCTAAAATAACATGATTCTTTGCAGTGAGGCTAGGGGACTGGAAACCAGATTTCATAATCCCTAGATTAGGGGTGTCAAACTCACTTTCACAGGGGGCCGCATTAGCCTTGAGGTTGCCTTCCAAGGGCTAAATGTAGAGCTCCTTGCTCCTAGTTAAGGAGTAGTTACACTTACACAGTCCTAAAATTACATTCAGCCCTTGGAAGGCAACTGTGAGGTTGATGTGTGGCCCCCTGTGAAAATGAGTTCGACACCCTGGCCCTAGATGAATGCTTTCTATCTGTCTCCATATGTAGACTATTTTTAAACAAAAAATTAGCCTTATACTTGATTTACTTCTATATGTCTCATATCACTATAACAATTCTGAACTAAATACCAGGAACTCAATAAACATTTGTTCATTCATGAATATTTAAATTCTGCAAGAGCATTTTATTAACTTAGGAGCTCTGATAATTAGGATGGTCACTAAACTGCCTACATCTAAACTTTTTAATATTTGCCAATCTGGTAGATCAGGAGTTGATGAACACTTTCCACAAAGGCCTAAACAGTAAATATTTTCAGCTTTATGGGGCCATAAGGTGTCTATTGCAACTAGTCAGCTCTGTGATTATAGTGCAAGAGCAGCTGTAGGGGGAAACGTAAATGAGTGAATGTGGTGGTAGCCAATAAAACTACTTACAAAATCAAGTGGTGGGCTGGATTTGGTCAGTGGGCCATAATTTGCTAACTCTTGCAGCAGGAAAAATGCTATCTAGTTTTAATTTGCATTTATTTAGCCATGTGAGTGAAGGGGAATATTTTCCTTCATTTATAAAACTTTATTGGACTCTGTAGTGATATTAGGGATATAGCAGTGATCAGATAATATTTCAGTCTTCAGTGGTATTATTTGATTGGGGATGGGTAAGCAACTAAACAGAACAGTAGCTATGATAAGTTCTCTGAAGAAAATAAATAGGGATGGAATAGACCCTCAGGGTTTATAGTGGCAGCTCTTTTAAAGAATGTTCAGGGAAAGGAGGTGACAGTTGTGTGAGAAGGAGCTAGTCGGGTGTATTAGCTATCTATTGCCTTATAGACTATTACCTCAAAATGTAGTACCTTAAAACAATAAATAGTTATTATCTCACGCAGCTTCTGAGAATTGGGAATCTGTGACGGATTTGGCTAGACAGTCTGTCTGGCTCAGGGTCTCTCATGAGATTCTGATCAAGATGTAGGCTGGGGCTGCATTGGTTAAAGGCTTGTCTGAGCTGGAGGATCAGCTACCTGGAAATCTAATAATGTGGCTGTTCACAGAAGAGCTCATTTCCTTGCTGCCTGACCCACTCCATGGGCTGCTTGAGTGTCCTTAACATGGTGGTGGCTGGCTTCCCCCAGAGCAGGTGATCCTTAAGAGTAATGAGGAAGCTGTAGAGCTTTTTATGACCTTGTCATGGTAATTATGCACATTGTCACATCTCCATTATTTTATCCATTAGAAGCAGGTCACTAAGTTCAGTCAGCACTCAGTGGGAGGGGATTTAGGCTTCATCTTTTGAAGGTAGTGTCAAACAATTTTTAGGAATACTTGAAACCACCAGTTTTTCCTCTGGCCACAAACTATGTATTTCTTCCACATGCAAGCCAAGACCCTCTTGAATAGTTTGGCATTAAGGAGACAATATTTGTACCCATATACCCAGCATCCAAAGTTAGGACAGGCATAGTTTGGTGAGTTTTTGCCAATAAAATTATTCAGTAAACTTTGAAGGTATCCTGTGCTTATTAACATTCATTCCATTAGATAAAACATAAACTGCTACTTCTGCCTTATTCTTTTTGTTAGAAGTGAGTCACTTAAAGCAAATATCAAAAATTGTGGACATATTTTAAACTACCATTCCATGTCAAGAAGATAAGGGCATTCTAGGCAGAAGAAACAGCCAGGGCAAAGGCCCAGAAGGAAGACTTTGGCCTGTTTGGGGAATAGAAAGGTGGCTAATGGGGGTAAAGCATATGAGGAAAAGGAAGAGTGGTGTGAGGTGAGGTTGGATAGGTTCTATATACCACACCTGGCCTTATAGTGCCCATAAAAGCTTCTAAATTTTGTTGTAAGTATATGAGAAACCATTAAAAGTATTAAAGCAGGGAATCACAGGATATGGTTTATTTTACAAAAAACGATCGCTCTTACAACTGTGTGGAGCACAAATTAGGTGGGACTAGAGTGAAAGCATGGAGACCGATTGGGCTACTCCACTAGTCCAAGTCCAAGGTCATACAGACTTTGACTAGAGAGGTAGCAGAAGAAACCAAGAGGTGGACGTGTTCTACATTGCAGTTGGAAGCAGTAGTAGTTGGAAATGGGCTGGGAAGAGGGAGGGGAATCAGATGACCCCTACATTTTCCTCTTCATGGGTGTTGGTGCTGGTCACTGAAGAGAAGACTGGGAGAAGGACAGAATTAAGTAGAAATGAAGTTATTGTTTTGGCTGTGTTAAGTTTGAGATGTTAGAAGGAGAGAAATCAGGACTCAAAATAGAAATACAAGATATTGCTGTTGGGCTTGTCTTTTCATACTGAATCTTTTATTTTTCCTTGTGATCTGTGTGTGCATATCCTTTGCCACTTTTTATACTATTCAAAATGGATATCAAATGTTGCTTTTTCCTTGCATTTGATTTAAGGTCTCCCCCCCACCCCCTTTTTTTTAATCCTCACCTGGGGATATACCTATTGATTCCAAAGAGAGAGGAAGGAAGGGAGAGAAAAGGAGAGAGAGAGAGAAAGATAGACAAAAGTGAGAGAGAAACATCTATAGGTTGCCTCCCCTATGTACCCTTCCTGGGTAGTGAACTCACAACCTAGGTATGTGCCATGCCTGACCAGGAATCGAACTTATGACCTTTTGGTTTATAGGAACACACTCCAACCAACTGGACCACAGCAGTCAAGGCAAGATCCCATTTTTAAAGAGTACAGAAAAAGATGTGATCTGGAATATCTACATAAGGATTATTTTGGCTAAGCACAGGTTTCTGCAAAATGTTTTTTAATTACAAAAGTAATACACATTTATTAGTGATACGTAAAAAACAGCTTAGCAAAGAACTGAACATGAAAATCATCCTTAGTCATACTACCCAAAGAAAACTATTATTAACACCCTGGTGTGTATTCTTCCATTGTCTTTCCCCTGTCAATATTAGCCATTCATTAATTCCACATAAATTTATTTGGCTGAGTGCTAGTGTTATGAATATGAGTAAGACATTCTCCACATTATTAGGGAGACTATAGTCTTAATAGTCTAGTGGGAGTGAAAGACAAGTAGGACTTATCAATTATAAAGTAAAATGATTAGAAGTATGTTTAGGGTCCCTTGGGAACATGAAGAAGAACATTTAAGCCCTGGCTGGTGTAGCTCAGTGGATGGAGCGTGGGCCTGCGAACCAGACGATCGAGGTTCGATTCCCAGTCAGGGCACATGCCTGGGTTGCAGGCTAGTTCCCAGCAGGGGATGCATGAGAGGCAACCATACATTGATATTTCTCTCCCTCTCTCCTTCCTTTCCCCTTTAAAAGATAAATAAATAAATAAAATAAAAATAAAAGTAAAAAAAAAAAGAAGAACATTTAATTTAGACTGGGGGAATGTGTCAGGCTGAATCTTGGAAGGTGATTAGCAGTTAGCTAAGAGAATGAGGGGAAGAAATATGTTATTATCACTATACTTACATAGAGGAGGTGGGAACTGTTAATATTTTGTTTCTGAAGCTGGTGGTGATTTGGGTGTTCAGTGTATTATTTATACTATCTCTATAGCAGAAGACTTTAATAAGTATTTTTAAATCATTAGGCCTTGGAGTCATTCATGGATATTGATAAAGTACTCTGAAAGTAAGAATTTCTTATTGTATAGAAATTAGAGGCATAGGTACTATAAGTGAGAAATAAAAATAAGTGTGTGAAAGTAAGATTATATATTATTTGCCTTTTAAGGAGAAGTCTCGTTTTAGGGAAACATTTGTACTGCCTGGAAATTAAAATTGCTGTTTAAATTTATATGTAACTATATGCTTTCTACTCCTGCATTTCAGTTTCAAGATAGAATCCTTTAAAAATACTGTGTTTTTAATCTTTTGTTTTGTTGTATGGTGCTGTTTACAAATATGCATTTAGTACTATCTTTTTATTTTGATGAAAACACTTATGTTCTGGCCCATAAATGTTTTAAGTTCATGCTTGTCAGAGGATAGTTACCATTAAAATTGTTTTTCTTTGGAAGCATTTTCTTTTAAGTTTTAGTTACAGATTATATTATTTGGATTAAGACTTAAGAAAGAATACATATTAAAATTTACTATGTATGAGAAGAAATTTGATCTTGCTATTTTATGCTAAATGCTTAAGAAAATAATCATGTGTAAATTTTTTTTTTAGCCTTTCTAAGAAAAGTGTACACCATCCTTTCTCTGCAAGTTCTCTTAACTACCATGACATCTGCATTATTTTTATACTTTGAGTCTATACGGACATTCGTACATGAAAGGTAAGATGATTCTAAATCACTTTCAGCCACTGCATATGATCAAAAGGGCATAAACAAAGTTCTTTTTTTCTATTAACTTTTTATGTTTGAATGTAAAAAAGGTTCATTGTTGACTCTTGTAAATAAGATTAGTTTTGTTTTGGCAAATATGTTTTCCCAAATGGTTAGTTCTCTTTTCATTTTAATGCTGTTTTCTTTAGCTGTGCAGAAGCTTTTTATTTTGATGAGATCCCATTTGTTTATTTTTTCCTTTCTGTCCCTTGCTCTAGGGGACGTATCAGTTAAAATAGTGCTGCATAGAATATCTGAGATTTTTCTGCTTATGTTCTCCTCTAGGACTTTTATGGTATCACAACTTATATTTAAGCCTTTTATCCACCTTGAATTTATTTCATGGTGTAACTTGATGATTGAGTTTCATTTTTTTGCATATAGCTGTCCAGCTCTCCTAACACCATTTGTTGAAGAGGATATTTTTACTCCATTTTATGCTTCTGCCACCTTTGTTGAATATTAATTGACCATGGAGACTTGGGTTTATTTGGGGCTCTCTATTCTGTTCCATTGGTCTCTGTGTGTTCTTATACCAGTACCAGGCTATTCTACAACATGGTGTTTACTTCTGAACTTTTAGCTTATGGTTTTGTAGGGTTAAACCCTTATCTCCTGGAATAGTATTCAGAATTTTTACAGTTTGCAGTTTTCAAGACTTAATTTTATGTGCTTTTATTAGACATATGCCTTGTCCCCAAAGCCTAATAAAATGCTTGAAAAATAAAAGTATTTAATAAATGTGTATTTAATTTATCTTAGTGTTGGCCCATTACTAGGATAATTTCACTGAAAAGTTTTCAAAGGAGCTCCATATGATTTATCCCAAAGTTGTTTAAGATTTGACCTCCAAAGTAATTATTTTCAAGGTTAAAATAGATTCTTTATTACAGGAGAGGTAAAATAAGGAATGAATATTTTCTTAGGAGTACACAATTTCTATCCTCCCTTCCCCTACAGGAGAGTCTTGAATGGTTAGTTTGTGATTTGGGGAAAATTCTTTAATTTAAATTGTAGCTACATAGCAAATACCCTAAAAAAGTAGTTAGGTATAAAATATGTTTGTTCTTTAATAGCTTTTCTTTGTCTTTTAGTTAAAGTACAGTATGCTAGTTGTAAAAATTATTCAAATATGATAGAAATTCATGAAGTAAAGAGGAGAATTTTTCCCTTTGCATTGTGGGCTCTTTCCTTTGTCGGCTGCTCCTCCCCATCTCATACGCCTCAAATTTCCAGATGGAAAAATAATTGTTTTACCATTTGATGTGGATCCTTCCAGATTTTTTTGTACTTTCACAAACACATAAAACAGACATATGTTATTAAATTTGATAATACTATTTATGCTAATTTTTAAACTTGAAACTACTTTTCATTTTGTCTTTCAGTCCTGCCTTAATTTTGGTGTTTGCCATTGGATCTTTGGGTTTGATTTTTGCACTGATTTTAAACAGATATAAACATCCCCTTAACCTGTACCTGCTTTTTGGATTTGTGAGTACTTTGACAATTATCTGTCATTCTAACATTTATTACTGAGTTTTAAATTTATGTACTTAATTGAATGTGTATACGTATAATAGTAGCAGAACAAAATTAATGAGTTTTTAAATTATTTGAATATTTTAGGAAATTTCCTGTAATCTCTTAGTCTGTAAAATTTTGTAAACTTTGTCAGTTTCAAAAGTTTTTTCTGTTATGGTGTAGTGGAAAAAATAAGTAATTGGAATCATGACGGCCAAATATCTAGAATGTTTGCCACTATCTGGTTATGTAACATATGACAGGGCATGTACCTAAGTTTTCTCATATGTAACATGAAAATATTAAAGCAGATTATCCCTGTAATACTTTCTACTCCTAATATTCTGTGATTTTCTTGGAAAAAAATTATATTGTGGCTTTCATTTCATAGGCCTTAAATCGAAATCTTTATGCCCAACTCCTTCAATATTACTTTTATCTTATTATGCTGTTCTTTTAAAGAACCATTTTATTCAATTGATGTGTTTTACTAACTTTTTTCAAAATCATTGTTGGGGGAACTCAAGTTTAAGTCATGTTTGCTGAGATTCTTGTGAAAATTAAAATCCCAACTACTACTTATAAAAACTCAGCCTTAGAATATGACCAGAATGAGTTGGTAAGGCTCAAGTTATATATTTTTAAAATTATTTTTCCCATTCTCATATCCAGTGTGACTTGGGTTCTGACTTAAAAATTTACATCAAAACATTCCAAACTAATGTTAAGAATATTTATTGTCAAATAAGATTGAAAATGCTGTTTATTAGATTAAACTGCCTTGAAATAAAGTTTATGAATTCTGGTCAGTTTTTTGTTAATACGATGAAATAAAAGCTTTGGAAATTTCAGTTATAAGAAAGGTTATTCATTTAAATCTTAGGCTCTTCTGTTTGCCAGTTATCAATACTCTAACTTACATTACTGCTAGTAGCAGGGAGTAGATTTTAAGGATATAAGTAAGATCTTGGGAACCTACCAACCCACCCCATAAGGCCTCAAGGAGAAAAGGAACTAGAAGGGAGGTTCTAGAAATGATGCTGTTGTAGGATATTCAACAGCAAGAGTTTGTGGTCTCCTCTCCCTTCTTCCGTTACATTTCTTCTCTATCGTGCAGCTGTTTTTACAGTTTTCCCGTCTGCTCTCTTTGGTTTTAATATGGCTTATTGTGGCTCTCATATGATTCATGAACATTTTAGCTTTAGTTCCTGCTACCATTCTCTGAGTTTAGATTTCTAAGTGAGAAAGAATCTGATTGGTACAGCTAATTAATGGCCCAGGTCATAGCTAATATGAATTGACATCGCCTGGGTTAGATGCCAACGCCTGTCCCAGTCAGCGGTCCTAAAACACAAAGAGGAAGTAAAAAAAGAAACAACATCATGTAGAGTTCCTCTTCAACTCTACATATAGACAATCTGCTTTCAGAAAGACTCTTAATTGATTTCTATATGGGACAACAGTATGGGCCAGCATTTGCCCAGCAGGTAGAGGACCCACTAGAAAAGTATAAGCCAAATGCTATGGGCAAGATATGGTCACTTACTGCTACAACTATTGATCATTTAGCTACAGCTAGCTAAAAATGGTTTAACAAATAAGGAACTATGTAGAATTCATTTCTGATTACTCAGAGACCTCTGATGCTAGGTTATTTTGTCCTGCTCCACCAAAATAGGAAGGAGATGGATCTCACTTTGCCTTAGGAGGCACGTATGTGTGTATGTGTATATGAATGTGTGTATATGCACATTTGAAAAGGGGCATTATTTTGTGATGGTATATCTTCCTAGTTTTACCTTTTCTCCTGTTTATACTGTTTTTATAAATGTCCACATAATTTACAATTTCATTTTTATTTATATTACACAGAGAAAATAGAATTTTTTGTGTTACTTCTATAACCCTTCTCTTATAGATATGAAAAAATCTAGTTAGAGTTTAAGGAATAATGGGATCACAATTAGAATCTAAAATATTCTTACTCAATATATTGAGGTCTCATTTTCGTTATGGTGAGCTTATCTGTCCCATATACCTCAAAAGATTGCTCTGAAGCTAAAATGAGATCATGCATATGGAATCACATTGAACTATAAATTGGAACCATGTACATGACATAGTATATATTTTGCATGAACTGATGTAATTTCATTTTTTTTCTTAGACACTGTTGGAAGCCTTGACTGTGGCCTTTGTTGGTAAGCCATAATTGTGCTTTTGTATGTTACACTTACTTTTTAAAAAATTTTGTGAACTTTATTTTATTTTTAATTTTTAAAATTTATTTCTTAAAGACTGTATTTATGGTATTTATTTTTAGAGAGGGGGGAAGGTAGGGAGAAAGAAAGGGAGAGATACATCAATGTGTGGTTGCCTCTTTTGCACCCCCTGCTGGGGAACTGACCTGCAACCCAGGCATGTGCCCTGACTGGGAATCGAATTGGCAACCCTTTGGTTTGCAGGCCAGCACTCAATCCACTGAGCCACACCAACCAGGGCTACTCTTACTTTTTAATGTAGATAAATATTTTGGGTAAAAAGATATTTGGGGCAAAATCTTAATATTATGTAGTATTATATTTCAAAAATATGGCATAGAATAAAGAATTTCCAAAATATAAGCAGAAATTAAGTGTTTAAACTTTCCATAGTTCAGCTAAGCTTATAGGAAGTGGAAAAGAATTAGAAAGACAATAGGAATGGAAAACAGTATTCAATTGTGTTTATCCATTTATAAAAATAAGACACCCATAGCTAATCTTTTCCCTAATTTAAAGGGATCTCAGAGGAGCTGATAATGTGTTGAGTCATGTACTTTCATCACAGCTCAGACTCTTAAATTGCCTGCATCAAAGTATGCTTTATATTATATCCTCTTATTTTATCAGAACCCAAAAAGCTAGGAATTTCTTTTTTGTATTTGGTGTTAAATATGTGTTTGAAAGGAAGTGTCTGTTATAATTACTTGATGTACCCTATGTAATGCCTCAAGTGAAATATTTCATGATTTGTTAACAATTTAAAATATGCTGATTAATCTGGAGAATCAAAAGGGTCAGCATTAACTTTTACTATCAGTGAATTGTTAATCCTTATGGTTAACATAGGTATCTGTTTTATCAGTACTTTTTAAATCTATGCCAGTTTATTGAATCTTTATGTTCCACCTCTTTTTATAAGTGAATCAGAATATAAGAAAATAATAACTACTAAAATAAATAGGATTGAAATTTCATACCACAGGAAGTATTATTAATATTTACTTATTGTTAGCATTATTATCTATTATGTATTATTAGTGTTATTATCAAGCCTAGTGCTGCCCTCCCTGGCTCCCACCATTTGTAAGGGATGTAGAAAAGATATTTATTTCATGGTTATTAGAACTGGGGTAGAAATACATAGTTGGGATAATCTGAGAACATCATTTTCCTCATTATTATAATATCTTTCCACATAATCATATACTGAAATTACTGACAAGCAGCAAGAGTGATTTCATGTTTTATCTTTCTGCATTCACCTTCGTAATGGCATAATTAGAAGAATTCTAATAATGTAGCACTTAGAATAGAAAGAACTTGGATAATTAATCCCTGACAAGTTAAAAATAACTTAAATGATTTGGGTTCAAAGCACTTAACTTCCTTTAAAGAGGTTATAATTTATCATTCTCTTAACATGATAAGCAGTTGCATTGCTTTCACCACAGTAAATCCAGAAGATCATTCTAAAATTATGGAAGTAAATTTGGTATACAGTGTACTCTGAGATACTGCAGATTTGGATATAAAGCAAATAGTGGTTGGGTTCTGTTCTCTGCAGGGTTGGTGAAAGGCAGACAATGCCAAATATCCCCAATATTTTTCTTGCCCAATTTCCTTGATTTGGGCTGATGAACTTGGTGCAATTAACCAGGTGATAGCTAGAACTGCTGTATGCTATCCAGGATCTCCCAGGCAGCCTCAGTACCCAGAATCATCCCTATTGATATCTAAGCCATAATGGACAATCACCACAGATAAACTGCAGCTGGAACAGGGATTGGGTGAGAATACATTCCACCTTATCCCTAAACTCCTAACTGGCTAGCTGTATAATCTCTGGTCATTTCTTTGATTTCAAAATAATGTGACCTCCTTCTTTTGTATTAATGAATATTTTGGAGCCTATTTATTGCATTATGGGTGTGGTTTTACTGTGCCAATCAATATTCAAGGCTGAATAAGGAATCTTTTCATAATTGTTTTTATTGCCAACTAGTGCAGTTAAAAGCATTTTAATTAAGTCCCAGAAAAAGCTGTTTTACATTATGTTTATATGAATGTTTAATCAGTATTTTTCAATTTTACAGTTACTTTGTATGATGTGTATATTGTTCTGCAAGGTTTTGTACTGACTACTGCAGTGTTTCTTGGTTTGACTATGTATACTCTACAATCCAAGAAAGATTTCAGCAAATTTGGAGCAGGGTAAGTTACATATTCATGGCTGATATAAGATATCTTTAATATTATAGATAGTTTTGAGAGAAGTGCTATACTGTTAGCTTTGAATACTGTCTTTTTTTCTTTAATGTCAATGTATGGTTGCTTCTTGTGTGTCTCTTGCTGGGAACTGGCCTGCAACCCAGGCATGTGCCCTGACTGGGAATCGAACCATGATCCTTTGGTTCGCAGGCCCGCACTCAATCTACTGAGCTACACCAGACGGGGTTGAATACTGTCTTTTAAAGTGGAACGTAATGAAAGGTAATCTCTTTGAGTTCTAGGACCTGGCCCTACTCTCCCAGAACATCCAAGGACATGAAAAGTGGCTTTGAATCATTTCCTTCCCCTCTATCTTGAAAGGGAAGTAAATGCCCCCCCCCAAAAAAAATCAGGTTTCCAGAGAGTCTAGGCTTGTGTTCTTTATGAATGGTATGGAATTCACCTATATTATTTAGATCTTTGTCTTAACATAAATGTCACCAAAACCATCCACATCTTTGTGGTAAAAGCAAGAGTTTAGAGGTGTCTTCACGAACCTTAAAGTCTTTTGATCCATTTGATTAACCTGTATCTTTCTTAGAACTAATAGATACATGGAATGATCCTTTTTATATTACGATAATGTACTTTGTTGCCCTCTTAACAAGTACAAACAAACATACTTGTTAAGAATGAATACTCTTTAAGCTCACCCTGACTTCCTGTTGACACATAATCAGGCAACCACTTTCTCTTCTTTTTCCTGTTACAACACTAAAAATTTACAAAAGTGTAGTCTTGCAAAACTTTCTTTTCTCCCCCTTTTTTCCTGGTCATCCAGATTACCAGAAATCTCTGCTGGGATAAAATACAGTTGATTAGGCAACATTGATAGTTGTGCAAGATGCATATAGTTTTATTAAAATGGAGTTTGATTTAGGGGCAGGTAGCATTTTTTAACTCTTATTTTGGGGGGTGTGTTTCATACATATTTGTGGCTCTATATGATGAAAGATTTGCTCTTTGCTTCTTCCTATCCCAGTCTCTAACTGCCCCGCTTCTTCCCCATCCATTCAACTATAGTCTAGAACTCCTTTCTGGTATTGGGTTGGCCAAAAAATCCATTTTTTTTCTATAAATTAAAAGACACATTTAAAAATAAAAAAATAATAAAAAAAGTAAAATTAAAAAATAAAAGACATTTTTCATTTTCACCGATAACTTCATTGATTTGGATATTTTGACTATGTCAGTTATCTCTCACAAGGTATAATGTTGATTGTTCTCAACTGATGTCTTGATTTGACTGCTACCAACTTCAACTGGTCTACCAACCACCGTGGAGCTTTGTCCAACAAAAAATCTCCAGTATAAAACTTCACAAACCACTTTTGACACATTTGGTCAGTCACAGCATGTTTTCCATATACTGCATAAATCTTTTTTTGCATTTCAGTTATATGCAATATAACTTTATTGAAATAATAAAGCATAATATACCAAAAAGTTACATATTTTCTCCCATTTTCAATATTAAAATGGCTACATAAAAATTCACCAGTTTTGATATTTTTTTAAATGCATGCTGATATGACAGCTGTCACAGTAGAATCTAACAAAATTGTTCTAGTGAAGTTAAAGACAACTAAGCATTACTACAGCCATCTTATGGGGGAAAAAAAACAACACATTTTTCCGTAAGATGGAGAGTCCATAGTTCGGTAGAATTTTTTGGCCAACCCAAGAAATAATCTCCCCTATATTTCAGTCTCTTCATAATATATTCTTTCTTCTTCCTTATCTCAGATGAAACTTGATTCCTCTCTGAGAACTATTCTCTAGCTGTTCATTCTCTAACTCGGTGATGGGGGTTAGTGTTGAAAACTGCTTCTGTCCCTGGTGCCACTTTTCATTATTCCTTCAGCATAATAGAAATTCATTACTTTAAGGCTAATGCTTTCTGGTGATACACTTTCTGCCCTTCTTCATTACTGTCATTGACCCCCTTTTTGGTCAAGCCTCCTTTTTTTTTTAAAGACCTTAGCATCAAACTACATGTTAGGCCCATCCATCAGCTTTGCCTCTCAGTATCTCTGGACCTCTTCTACTGCAGCAACTTCCATTTCCCTGCCATCACCACTTTGTGGACCTTGCCATCACTAGGGATTGTTCCGTTGGTGAAATCTTAAATGCCAGTGTCCCACTTTCTTTCTTCAGCCTTCTATCCTTCTAGCTCTCTCATTTATTTCCACAACACCATTCTATGGTGCCTGTTCTTCAGCTACTTTTATTGTCATAATAAACTGTCCTTCATTTCAGACCTAGGAGTCTCATGTGTTCTATTAGCATCCATGAAATTGAGCCAGGCTAACTCATCAGCTTCTAAGGTAAAATCTCAGTAGTTCTTCATCTCACTTTCCCATACTTCTTGGTGCAGAAGCTTTGGAGTTTCCCCAGGATTTAAGTATGAAAAGCAAGTCCTGATTCCCTTTCAATCTTGAAGGATCTATGCTATGAGGTGGTAAGATACTTCATTCTAACTTAGGTGTGCCAGATGTATCCTGACAAGTTTTGTGGCCATTTCACCAAGAGAGCTGAGGACTGGAATCTCACCATACCCTCAGTTCACTACACTGAATTATAATACATATATTTAATTTATTTAGTTCTGTTGTTAAAGAACATTTTATATGATTTTAGTCCTTTTGCATTTACTGAGACTCATTTTATAGTATCTGGGTTAATATCTCTTGTGTACTAGAAGACGTATATTTTGCTGTTGAATGACTGAAAAATGTCAAATAGGTCAAACTGCTTGGTAGTATTGTTCAAGTGTTCTGTATGCTCACTTATTTTCTGCCCACTTATTCTATCAATGTAAAAGTGGTACTGAATTCCCCACCTGCAGGTGTGGACCGGTTATTTTCTATGACTTTACTTCATGTTGTTTGATGCTCTCTCTTTTTAGATGCATAAACATTTAGGACTGTTATGTCCTTTTTGTATATGTGTCTTAGCATTTCACAGATGTTAATGCTTATTAAGTAACCTAACACTGGGCTCCCATGGGCATAACCCCTGCACAGTGTCAATGCAAAGAAACATCAGCCAAGTTTAATTTTAACTAAGTCCACAGTTTAAAAAATTTTTTTATTATTGTTCAATTATAGTTGTCCCCATTTTCCCTCATTACTCTCCCCTGCCCTGCCCAGCCCACTGTCCCCTCATACATTAATCCTCCCCCTAGTTTTATCTTTGTCCCTGAGTCCTTATTATACATGTTTCTTGACGTGACCCTTCCCCTTCTCTTCCCCCATTTTCCACCTCTCGTCTTCCCCACTGCCCCCAGCCACTGTCAGTTTGTTTTTCCTGTAAAGACTCCTTCATCATTATGAAGGGGCTGTCTCTGGTAATATCCTTGCCCTAAAATTTACTGTGTTAATGTAGCTACCCTGGCTTTCTTTTGATTGTGTTCGCATGGTAAATCTTTTTGTTTGTCCTATCTGTTCCTTGATCCTTTTTTCCTCTTTTCTTCTATTCTTTTGGGTTGTTTGATTCTATTTATCTACTTTATGGTTAATAGCTATAGCTCTTTTAAATAGAAGCTGCTTTAGGTTTTATAGTGAACACGTTTACATTATCACAGTCTACCTTCAAACAACATACCGTTTCATGTATAATATACTTATTGCTGTTCTCCCCTACATTTGTACCATAACTTTTTGTTCTACATATTATAAACCTCATAATACATTGTTATTAATTTTGCTTTAAACATTATCTTTTAAAAAGATATGAAAAATAGATGACTTTTATGTTCATCCACATATTTACCACTGCTGTTCTCCATTTCTTTGTGTAGACCTAATTTCCATCGGATGTTTTCCTTCTGCCTGTGGGATTTCCTTTTAACACATCTTACGGTGCTGGTCTGGTCTGTTTTTATATGTTTGAAAAAATCTTTATTTTACCTTTGTTTTTGAAAGTTATTTATTTATTTATCCACTCTGCATTCTGACTTGTGTAGTTTCAGACAAGAAGTCTGTCATTTTTCTTATCTTTATTCCTTTGTACATGTTTTTTAAAAAACATTTCCTAGCTACCTTTAAGATTTTCTTAGTCATTTGATTAATATTTTCAGTAATTTGATTAGGATATTCCTGGTATTTTTTTCCTGCTTCTAGGATATATCAGTTTAAACTTTTCATCAACTTTGGAACATTTTTGGCCATTATTTCTTCAAATAGTTCTATGTTCCTTTTTTTTCCTTTCTGTTGAGACTCCAATGACAATATGTTAAACTTCTTAAGGTTGTTCCACAGTTCACTGATGCTTTGTTCATTTTTCTCTAGTCGTTTTCTCTCTGCGATTTATTTTGGTTAGTTTCTGCAGCTGTAATCAAGTTCAATAATCTTTTCTTCCTCAGTGTCTAATCCGTTATTAATCCCAGTCAGAGTATTTCTCATTTGATATACTGTATTTTTTAGTCGGTGGAAATTCAGTTCAATTTCTATTTTTTAACTGTATTTCTTTCATTTCTCTCATGATGATGCTTTTCTCTATGTCCTTGAACATATGGAATATATTTTTAATGTCACTGCCTATTAATTCTATTTTTGTGTCACTTCTAAACTTGTTTCTGTTTTTTAGTGTCTACATTTATGTATGTATATATAAATGGTATCATACAATTTTAGCAGTGGCAAATTTATGTTAATAATGTCTATAATACATTAGAATAAAATAGAGAATAATTTGGGAACTTTAATGGATATGCATATTCACAGTATAATTTATTTGGTTTAAAATGCAATTACTTTTTATTTGTTCATGTATATATTTTCTAGAAGTTGTATAGATTTCTGTTAACTTAAAATACTTCTAGTGTATTTCTACTTAAATCAATATTTTCTTTCCATTTCACTTGAAACCTTTAAATATTGACACTCTTGACTAGTTTTGTATACCATTTAAACAAATGTTGAATAGACAGCTGTTCTTTGAATTCTGGGTATTCCACAGTATTCATTATATGTTTATGAGTTCTTACATTTAAATTATTCTTTGACAAATATCAGGATGCATTCATTTCTTGAGAAAATATTGAATGGGTTTACAAAGTTTTTTTGTAAAGAACAATATTTTAAATTATTAATATTTTGTTTTTATAGACTGTTCGCTGTTTTGTGGATTCTTTGTTTGTCAGGAATCTTGAGGGTGAGTTGTTTTAGAATAGAAACTTAAAATATAATTCTGGCCATGCCACTATAAATAAACTCAAAAAGCTATATAAGGTATATTCTTATGATAGGACACTTGGTTGTAATTATCTGAAATATTTGTATATAGGGTGATTATAAAATTATCTTTTGAAAAATTAAGGTCTTATGTTAACATCGTTGATTGGAAAAAAAGATGAACAAATGAATTAAATTACACAGAAAGAGGCCCTCATTTGTAATTGATAACCTCCAAGTGGCACATGTAATTATGAAAAAAAATTTTAATATTTGTGATGCTACTGATCAAAGTCAAGTGGGTAATTTAATAGGGGATTATCCATTGATTCATCCATTCTTTCATCCAACGGAAGCCAGAGTGGACCTGCTTTGCCTTTCTCTGCTTTTAACATTTGTATTCAAAGTTGTATGGCATTATTAAATATATGTGGAGCATATGTAACTTAAGAGCAAGTAACAAGTGTTTAATAGGGTTCTTTAATACAAATGTACTATTTTAATCTCTTGCCCACAGTTATTTCTTTATAGTGAGACAGTGGAGTTGGTCGTGGCTGCTGTAGGAGCCCTTCTTTTCTGCGGATTCATCATCTATGACACACACTCACTGATGCATAGGCTGTCACCTGAAGAGTATATATTAGCCTCTATCAGCCTTTACTTGGATATCATCAATCTATTCCTGCACCTCTTGAAGTTTTTGGAAGCAGTTAATAAAAAGTGACTGAAAGTAGGATACAGAAACTGACTCATTAATAATACTTTATTACTGATTCAGTGATAAAGTTAGAGGCATAACTATTAAATACTTTTATTAATTTATTGTATGCTCTGTACTTCAGGGCTATTACTGTAATACAGTAGGTCCTTGGATAATGTCATTTCATTCAATGTCATTTCAATATTGATGAGAAAAAAATCGATTCCCAGTCAGGGCCACTGTTGGCATGACGTTTGAAAATTCTCCCCATGTCTGCATGAGCTTTCTCTGGGTACCCTGGATTCCTTCCATGTCCCAAAGATGAACATGTTTGGTGAACTGGCACATCTCAGTCGTCCCCGTCTGAGTGAGGGGGTATGAATGTGCTTCCTGAGCCGCTGAGGAGGCTCTGCTACCTGCCACTCTAAACTAGAGAAGTGGGTTGGAAAAGGATGATCTTACTTGTTTTTATTGATCTTTCTTAAATTTGTAACTCACATTTATTTCAATGTTTAATATTACAAGTGTTTTGGGTCTTTATTAAAAAGTTTGGTATGCTTTTGTGACCAGAACTATGCCTATGGTAAAACTGGTTTTGTTAAATATATTGTTTTGCTTAAAGTTGCAGTTTCCAAGAACCTATTGATGACATTAAATGAGGACTTACTGTATAAGAATAATTATATATAATATATAATGTAGATAATAATATATATAATGTGATATAATATGATGTATAATGTAATATATGTAACATAACATTACAACTGTATTACTATTATATGACAGTCATTACATGTAAAATATAATAAAATATTAAATATATAATTACTAGGTTATATAATAGTAATATAAATCTTATTATCCTTTATGGCATCTCATTTCTAAATCCTTGATTTAGAATTTCAGGTATAAGGGATATCTGAAATCTTTAAATAAATTTTTCAATGCTGAATTTGCCATACATAGATTGTTCATCTGAAATTAAAAAATAATTTCATGAGTAGATTAGATTACAAATATCAATTTATCTTTGTCTAATGATTTTATCTAAATTTTCCTTTAAGTAACAGTAGATTGGACTTTGATTTTAAAGTACTTGTGTCCTTATGAACATAAATTATAAATCTCCTTTTACAGGATTTTAATCTTATTTAGAAAAGAAATATTATAAAAGATAAATTCAAGAGAATTATTTAGTTATATTAAAATGTTAATGATATTTCATTATAAAATGTATTAACAATAAGAAGCCTGCTTGAAAGTCAGATATTTTGACATTATTTTCTTAAGCACAGGTTTCATTTTAAGATTATAGCAGTGAACTAAGGGCCAGTGAAACTTTGGCAAATTCCCTCACTGTATTAGTTTGTTAGGGCTACCCCAACAAAGTTCTACAGACTGGGTGGCTTAATCAGAAATTTATTTTCTCCATTCTGAAGGCTGGAAGTCCAAAATCAAAGTGTTGGCAGGGCTGGTTTCTCTGAGGCCTCTCTCTTGGTGTGTAGATAGATAGTCATACTCTCCTTGTGCCTTCACATGGTCTTCTCACTGTACTTGTCTGTGTCCAGATTTCTTCTTAGAGGGACACACCATCATTGGATTAGGGCTCCCTAGTGACCGCATTTTGCCTTAATTACCGATGTAGGAACCTATCTCCAAATACAGTCACATTGTGAGGTACTAGGGGTTAGTACTTTGCAGTGGTCTGATCTGAATGTTTGTGTCCCACAAAATTCATATATTGAACGCTAATGCCCAGTGTGATGGTTTCAGGAGGTACAGCTTTGGGATGTGATTAGGTCAGGAAAGTTGAGCTTTCATGAATGAAATTAGTAAAAAAAGAGACCCTGTAGAGATCTCTTACTCCTTACCCCGTGTGAGGTTACAGTAAAGTACAGTCATCATCCCTCGCTATATCACAGTTCACTTATTGCGGCTTCACTGTATATAGCGGATCCTGAGATACAGTGAAGCCGCAATAAGTGAACCGTGGTATAGCGAGGGATGACTGTAGTGTCTGAACCAGGAAGAGGGCTGTTACCAGAGATCAAATCTGCTGGCACCTTGATCTTGATCTTTCCTACCTCCAGAATTGTGAGAAATAAATTCCTGTTGTTTTATAAACAGGTAATTTATAATTACCCAGTCTCTACTATTTTGTTATGGCAGCCCTAATAGACTAAGATAGACTTCATTTTATGAATCGGGGGAGAAGGGCACAACTCAGCCCATAATACTCGCTAAGCGTGATTTTTTTCCAGCTGTCAAGTTGAAATAAATCAGTAATATGGTGCTCCAGCGGGGTGGCTTAGTTGCTTGAAGCATCATCCATGCACCAGAAGGTCGCACGTTCAGTCCCCACTTGGGGCATGTACAGAGGCAACTAATCAATGTCTCTAATCAATGTCTCCTTCCTTGCATCCTTCTTTCCTGCCTCCATTCTCTCCTTCCTCCTTTTCTTTCTTTTCTCTCTCTCTCTCCCCATCCCCTACTCTTCCTCTATCTCTAAAACCAATAAACATATCCTCCAGTGAGGATTAAAAAAACTTAGAAAAAATTTGGTAGTGTGTAATTAGCTTCTAGTGAATTTTAGATGTAAATTTGACGATCATTATCAATTAACTAGTCATTGAATACATAATTGTATTAATGCTATACTTACGTTTAACACAGCATAGTGGGTAAGAGCATCTAGATCAGAATCATTGCTATGCAATTTACTCATGTGGCCTTTGCCAAGTTATTTATCTTTCCATACTTACGTCTTATGCATCACCTTTATAATGAGTGTAATAGTACCTACCTTAGTGGCTGACACATGAATTAAATGAGATAGTTATAGCATATAAACTAAGAGCTTAGTTAATGTCAGCTGCTATTATTAATAATTTTTTCAGTTCAGCCCTGGCTAGTGTAGCTCAGTGGATTGAGTGCGGACCTGCGGACCTGCGGACCTGCAAACCAGACAACCGTGGTTTGGTTCCCAGTCAGGGCACATGCTTGGGTTGCAGGCCAGTTCCCAGCAGGGGATGCAAGAGGGGCAACCACACATTGATATTTCTCTCCCTCTCTCCTTCCCTTCCCCTCTAAAGATAAATAAATACAATCTTTAAAAAAATTTTTTTTTCAGTTCAAAGGCAGAATGTACTGAATTGGCAGTAAAGATATTAAATAAGCAAAAGCAGATTTGACATTTAAAAATTGTAAAACAGTGCCACTGTTCTCAGTACATTTTTTTTTTTTTTTGGTTTGGGAAATACATTTTTTTAAATTTTTTATTTATTTTTAGAGGGGAAGGGAAGGAGAGAGGGAGAGAAATATCAATGTACGGTTGCTTCTCATGGATCCCCTGCTAGGAACTGACCTGCAACCCAGGCATGTGCCCTGACTGGGAATTGAACCGCAATCCCTTGGTTTGCAGGCCCGCGCTCAATCCACTGAGCTACACCAGCCAGGGCTGGGAAATACATTTTTTTAAAATAAAAATGTAGACATGTAATTACATCTTTTTAAAATGACAAATTTTCAAAAAATTACTTTAACTTTTGGTAGGACAAATACTGTAATTTCTAAGAGTGCAAAGAGATCAAAAGACCAGAAGTTTGGAAACTTCTGGTATAAACGTGGAATGGTGAATACATAATACAGTGTACAGATGATGTACTGCACAATTGTGTACCTGAAACCTGTATAACTTTGTTCACTAGTGGCACTTAAATAAAGTTAATAAAGAGAAAAAAAACACTGCTGTAGAGCATTCTATTTTATAAATGAACAGTAGTTCTTAGAATTTTATATGGTTCCTCCTTTTACCATCATACTCAGTCCTGCTCCGTACGTACCCGTAATGTGTACCAGTATGCACAAATGAGAGAGTTTGCCCAGGAAAGAAACATACCTGTAAGCAGAATTACTGGATAAAAGAGCATGTGCAACTTCAATTTTTTACATCAAGTGAAGGTGAAAATATGCAGACTCCAGACATACTAAAAAAAGTGGAATTAGGACTTAGAATGATAGGCAACTCTGATGCAAGGTACAAAATGTAGTCAGAGAGATGGGAAGAAAACTAGGAAAAGGCAGTATTAGAGAACTGTTTTCATTGAGTGGAATTGGGGGGAAGAGGTGCAGCAGACCCTGTCTACCTGACTTCGTTTCTTCTCACACCTGGCCTTGATCCACTTGATGCATTGGGCATTAGTGGTGTCAACAGCCAGCTGTGGACCTTTTGGAGTAGCTGGGAACTTAGGTTCTTTTGGCTTGTTCTCTTCATACAGGAGTGTCCAACCTGTGGCCCCCGGGCTGCGTGCAGCTCAGGATGGCTGTGAATGCAGCCCAACACAAAACTGTAAATTTACTTAAAACATGAGATGTTTTTGTGATTACATTTTGCAATGTAATTAATGTGCGGCCTAAGAAAACTTCTTCCAGTGTGGCCCAGAGACGCCAAAAAGTTGGACACCCCTTGGCAGAGCTTTGTCTTGAAGATCCCATCATTTAGGGCCTGGGTAACATGGAGTCACCCTCTGAACCCCGGAAGTCTTCCTGGTTTTTATTCAGTGATTACGCAGATCAGGGCTTCCATGGAAGAGACCTGACTGCAGGGGCCCCACTGGCTGGTGTCCATAGTGTTAGTGTTCCATTTAAATGGAGAAGCAGCCCATTTCTTGTCAGGTACCCAACTGAGGCTCCATCCAGCTCTGTGAGGGAGAAAGAAGCAATGTCCAATTTAGGGGTTAAAGTTTGTCCCTCCATTAGGGGTTAAAGTTTCCTGAAGACTGTGGTTTGGTTTCCTTCATCTTTGTATACCCAGCACAGTGCCTGTCACAGAGCACACACCCAGCTGTTTGACCCAGGGAATGAATTAAGGATTTTTAAATATACCAAGGCCATTTATTCTGTTAGAACAGCTTTTATACAAACTGCTGAAGAACTTAGGATAAAATGGTTTTTTCAATAATGCAGTCTAAAATTCAGTTTTTTAAAGCATTAGTAATGCTGAATTATGGCATATATTTAACACCAAGACATTATCATAAGTCTTTTTTTCTCTTTTCTGGTGCCAAATGTCTATTCAAAAACTTTGGCCTGGTATATTAAGCAAGGTGCAGTCGACTTGGATTAGCTAAAAGTGAGCTTGCTCAAATTTAAAATGCAGTGTGAACATTTATTTTTGGAAGAAGTGGCTAAGTACTAATATATGGTTAACTTAGGTTAAAATAGGAACTCACTTGCTCTATAAGAATTTAATCTTTTTAAAGACAGTAGGTGTCTCTGGCATGCTTTTTTATATACATATTGGTAGCTCTTTTCAGCTGTCAAGAAAAATTCAGTACATTGAGTTTACTAATTTCCATGTGATGCAAGGTTTCCAAAAGGACACCGATTTACAGAAAAAAAGGTACCCACAAATTGTCTTAGTAAGAACTCTATAGCAACCAGGCAGGAATTAACTAGGCTATCATGAAAGATGATTCATTTACTTTTTTTTTATGTTTTAAGTCTCTAAAAAAACATCACTGACAAATAGTATTGTGCTTTGTTTGAACTGTAATGTAAAAAGAATGAGTTACCAAAAATTGAGCTCATATCACCTATCTAGGGATCAATTAGGTTGTATTAGCTTCTTTCAATGGACAAGGATTATCCAGGCTCTGAGACATTAATTACTCACTAATATCACAAGGAAGTATTGGAGTCAAAAATACATCACAGACCTGTCTGGTTACATATTAGGAGCATATGTAAAATAATTAAAAGCACTGGTGTGACCGATGTGACCATCACCTACGACAGCTGTCCTCAGTTTAGCACTGTCTGGCATACATATTAGCAAGGTAAACATTGGTTAAACCGAATTAGTTTTATCATTTTACCCTTCGAACTTGTCTTTTGGATGGGAAAGCCTTTTTTTGTTTTGGTTATATATACCTCTTCTATGAAGTATAACTGACAACAATAAATTACACATACTTAAATTGTACAATTTGGTAAGTTGTGACAGATGCACAGATCCATGAGACCATCACCCAGAATGGGAAAACGTAATTAAGGGATTCAATAAAGACGATCTCAATTCGGCCTCTCGGTCTAAGGAAATCTGAACCTGAGAGCTGAAGGTCGGCTCTCAGCTCCCTACCTGACAGGCTGGATCAGCTGGCCAAAGTCACTCCTTGAGTTAGAGTTAAAATCTCAGGACTACCCCGGCCACGCTCAGGAAGCCCGCCGGGTTGGCTCTCATTCTCCGCTGGGATTCTCTTCCGCATTCTTCAAATTCAATTTAGCAACGCCTTTGGGAAGAGGCAGACTCCTAAATCTGCACACGCTCCAAAGGCAGGAATCGCGTCAACAGGGAACTCCAGAAAGCCCGACCCCTAGGCGTCCCGGGATTTTTGGGTCCCGGCGTGCAATGCGCAGGAGTGGGGGGCGGGAGCAAGTGGGCAGGGAAGGCCGGAAGGCGGAAGTGAGGCCACTTCCGGCCGCCGTGAGTGTGTGGACTGTGAGTGGTGGACCTGTTCAGGTGAGTTGGTACCCAGTGGAACGTGGGTCTTGCGGCTGATTGTAGCATCTCGGAGAGAAACTTGTGGAGAAACCTGGTCCATCGCGGGACAAGCTTGAGCCCGGCCCAGAGAGACAAGCCTCTTTTGAGGGCGAGGGTATCTCGTGGCCTTGGTGCTGTCCTTGGGCTTCTCCGTGCTCTCTACGAACTGAAGTTCTACCTCGGTCTTCCTTCTCGCTCAGGTTAACCTCTACCCTGAAGGTTGCTTAACGAAACGCTTCTAATCCCGCCGCGTACGGGGCATGAGTTGCTGTACACAAGAAGACAGTTTGTTATTGCTGGCGCCCAAAAAGAAATATTACTTCAATAGTCACTAATTCAACAGATTTTTATTTAGCTTTTGCTGTATATATCCAAAGAGTTATGTATTGGGAGATCTAAAGGCGAAAGACCTAATGGAGCTCACACTCCACCGGAGATGACAGAAAATAAATAATTTCAGACTGTAGCATGTATTCAAAAGGAAGGAAGAGGATGAAAGCATGGAGAATAAAAGGAGGGGAGCTTACAGGGTCAGAGAAGGCCTTTCTGACCTATCAAAGGAGCAAGGCTTGAAAAGATCAGTTGTCAGGCACAGGAAAACAAATTTAAGTTACTGAAGTGGACACTTTGGACTCCTCCCCCCCAGCCAACCCCTTCCCAGTCATGTCTTAATGATTTATATATAACGTCATTATTGATGTATAATTAACACAATACACTTCACAACCATAAATCTATCAACACAAGATGAAATTATAAAGCACTTAAAAGTTTCCTTCTAAATTCTGTTTAATCCCTGTAATCCCTTCCTTCCCACCCCTCATCACATCCCCACTCTCCCAGCATTGTCATCAGTTGGACTTTTTTCTGATGTAATTGGCTCCTGGGGGTGAGAATGGAGCATAAGGTGAGATAGTTGAAGGAGGGTAGGGGGTCAGGTCACAAATAACTAGATCTTGAACATATTGGTAGGAGGTGGGAAGTCATCAAAGAAAGGCAATTGTGTGCTCTAAATTTTTAAAAGGTCACAGTAACCACCTTGTGGAGTATTTGGGGCTGGGAATAAGGGATGGAGAGAAAGCAAGAGTGGAAACAGTCAAGTTTAGAATAGTTAAATTGACTTGAGGTGGTGGATAATGATGACTTAGGTGGGTGTCCTGTAGAGTGAAATCAGGATTTGGGGGGGGGGGGAATTAAATTTTCGTACCTTGTATGGAAATCCCAGAAACTTTCAGAATTGGCTTCACTTACAGCCAGTGACCAATGGTAGTTTGATTTGGTGTTCTTAATTCTTTAATGGCTGTGTATAGCCATGTTGATCCTCACATGAGTTGCACAGTAAGCCATCATAAATCATGAACAGTAAAGAGTCTTACCTTCTCTTTGTTCATGTTTTGTAGAGATACCTTTTGATCTGGTTTTCCAAGCATCTGCCCCTTTTTTATAGTAAATACTTGCTTTTAAATATGTATCTTTGTTAACTTTCCAGATAAAACATGGCTAAAAGCTTACGGAGTAAGTGGAAGAGGAAGATGCGTGCTGAAAAGAGAAAAAAGAATGCCCCAAAGGAACTTAGCAGACTAAAGAGTATTCTTAAAGTAGACACTGATGTGTTAATGAAAGATGTTCAAGAGATAGCAACTGTGGTGGTGCCCAAACATTCTGAAGTCCAGTGTGTGGTGAAAGATGAAAAAGGTGAGTTTATATGCTTCCTTTAAAAAAAAAATTGTTCCTTGTGACTTTTCTTTCTTCCTTTTACCCTGTCTTTGATTCATTCCCACACATGCTTCCTTACAAACCTCCTGCTATGTCCACATTATTCTTTGAAGGCTTATAGTGCTACTAGAGATTTTACATTAAACTATTTTATAGCCAGTTTGTGTCAACAGGTATGATTTCATAAGCAGAGTGGGCCTTTGATGCTTACCCAATAGCCTAAATGTCTCAAAAATAGACAGTGCTTCAGTAGTACACAAACTTGGATGCCATCATTGGAAGGTGCACAACTCAGTCAAAGACTAGGCAGGATAAAAGTAGGTCTTTCTTCATTTTACCCCTTGCAAAAAAATAGTTCCCTTTCTAAGAGTCCTGTGCCTTTATATTGTTATCCCGAAAATCAGCATTTCCTTGTATTTGATTTTGACAGCTTTTAGGGACCTCTATATTTTAATTATAGTCTAAAGTTGGAGGCTGAATATAATAGTTTCAATACAGGAGAGGACTCTCTGGTTTTAACATGGTTAATACACCACTTTGACAGCAAAATAAATTAAGTACTCACAATACCTAGGGTCTTAAAATGCGAGTGTATTTATGTGGTATCCAGTGATTAAGGGAAAAAGTAGCATTCCTTAACCTTCCAATCTTAGAAATTGCCTTTCCCATTTTTCACAATGGTGGTTTCATATTTTTTCTTCACATCCCACCCCCATGAATGAAAATTACAAAAAGCTTTTTACTTCAACTTTGAAAAGTAGGAACATTCAACAGAGAAACCCTCATCTTCCCACTGTCCAAGTCTATAAGAATTTGAATGTGTGGTCTGTTTTTCCTCTTTCATTAATACTCTCTCAAGGCAGTATCTCCACCTTTGTTCTGAATCCTCTCCATTCTTGGACTGTGCTCATGCATCCTACTTAGCAGTATCTCTTTTCTGCTAGGTTATTCACAACAGCTTGAAGGTATTCTGGAATGTTACACCGAGAGAGAGAGAAGGAGGGATTTAGTACATTGATGATGTTGTTCAACCATCATCCTTATTTCCAAGATGTTTTCATGATCCTAAAAGGAAACTTTATACCCATGAAGCAGTCTGTCTCTATTTTCTGTCTTCCCAGCCTGTGGCAAACACTTATGTGCTTCCTGTCCCTTTGGATTTACCTATTCTGGGTATTTCATATAAGTGGTACCATATGATATGTGACCCTTCATGTCTGACTTTTTTCATCTAGCATAATTCTTTGAGGTTCATCCAGATACTACTGTGTATCAGTACATCCTTTTTAAAGCTGAATTTTAGCCCATTTAATGTATGTACCACATTCTATTTTTTCATTCATTTGATCGTGGACATTTAGGTTGTTTCCACCTCTGGCTCTTTTGTATAGTGCTACTGTGAATATTTCTGGAGAAGTTTTTGTTTGTATACCTGTTTTTAGTTCTTTGGGATATATAATTATGCGTGGAGTTGCTGGGTCATGTGATACTTCTGGGTTTACTGCTTTTTCTCTCAGTCACACCATTTTACATTCCTACCAGCTATCTACAAGGGTTCCAGTTCTATTCAAGTTCTTTGTCCCTTTTTTAATTGGATTATTTGCCTTTTTGCTGTTGAGTTGTAGTTTTTTTTTACAAGTTTCAAATTGATTTTATTGCAGTGGGTTAATTAAAACATGTTTAATATTATATATATGTAGTTTAAATTATATATTCTGCATACTAGTTGCCCATTCACTCCTGAGTCTCTTGGATTTATCCTTTAATTTTATTTTCTCTCCTGTTTCCTTTGTTATACTTTGTAATTTTTTTGAACTTTATCATCTGGTTCTTGTGTTGAATTACTTGGTTTTGTATATTTTTAATTTCTAAAAATGTTTTTTTTTTAGTAGGCTGAGGTTCTTTATAGATCTATTCTCTGATATCACTGAGGGTATTAATTACGGTTTCTTTTACAAATTTTGATCTTTTCTATGCATTGTTTATCTTCCTTTTGGGTTCTCCTTCTCCCTTCCATTTCTTTATTCTTGTCTCTTTCTTATTGGAGGCTTTTCTCCAATGTCTGGTGATCAGCACTTGTTTATATCTGAAAGTGATACACTAAAATGTCTGTTGGGTGGAAACTTGTGGGCAGGGGGCAAGGTGTGAAGTAGGGCTTATCACCTGCTGGACTTGCAGAGTGACCGGATTGGCCCTGGAAAGTTCCGCTGTGGGAGATCTCTTTTAAAACCTATAGGTCTTTTCTGTCATCTCCTGCCTGGGGGAATGTCTGGCTGCCCTCGAGTTTGAAGTATTTCAAACACTGAATGGGATGGAGCTGAGGTTGGGGGGCAGGTCTCCGCATTTAGTAATCTGCCTGTTTTCAACATGGTTCCTCATCTCTGCCCTCAAATTTATGTTTCCCCTTCTACTCTTTCAACTACCCACTTAATTTGTTAAGCCACAGACCTTGTAGTTACCTTTGATTCCTCTTTCCTTTATCTCTGACATCTAAACCATTAGCACATCCTGAGTATTTCCAAAAAGCATCTGAAATCTATCCATTTTTCTCATTTATGCTTTCACTGTAATCATCATCTATCTCTTGGCTGAACTACGATAGCCTTTTTGCTTCTGAGTTCTCGTTTTCTTCTGATTCATTTCGGCCTATCAATCATTGTGACCTTTTTTAGAATCTAGATCAAATTTTATCATTATTGTGCTTAAAATACTGCATTGTCTTTTCATGTGCTTAGCAGAGTCTACCATGTCCTACTTAATCTGATTCTGGTGCAGAGAGATACAGAACCACTTTTTTTCTTTTTTTTTTTTAAGATTTTATTTTCTTATTTTTAGAGAGAGGGGAAGGGAGGGGAAAAGAGAGGGAGAGAAATATCAATGTGTGGTTGCCTCTCACATGCCCCGCAGTGGGAACCTGGTCTTCAACCCAGGCATGTGCCCTGACTGGGAATCAAACCAGAAACCCTTTGGTTCGCAGGCTGGCACTCAATCCACCAAGCCATACCAGCTAGGGCCAGAACCACTCTTTAAAAATCTGCATACCATAGGCTGAAGTTTGCTTTGTTATTCTCCTCAACAGACTATTGTAAACCTCATGAGAGCAGGGAGGATATTTGGACCACTATATCCCTAGAACCTAGAATAGCACCCAGAATAATCATTGAGTAATGAGTTATTAAATAGCTAATATATACCAGGCACTATTCCAGGTACTGTGGAAGCAGTGATGAACATCAGAGAAATGACTTTCATTCTAGTGGAATTTACATTGCTTTAGAGCAGAGAGAAATAAACCAGATAAATGAATTAATATAATGTCAGTTGGCAGAGATCATGGAAGACCTTCTGTACCCTGGTCAGTTCCCAGGGAGGGTCACTCTGGGCATGTCCTTCACCATAAATAAGATTGGTGATGGATGTGCTGTGGTATGGTTGCTCTGAGCTTCCTGCCACGTCTCTTGTTAGTAGAGCTGAGTCTCTAGGAGAGCTGGATCTCTGTGTGTTATCTGGATAGAAAAATGTGGTAGGATGTATCCAGTTCTTCTCTGTGTTCCGTCCATCTCTGTCATATAAAGCCTCTACTTTCTGGTACTCCACCTCTTCCAAGTTCACGTCATTAGAAGTGGCCATTCATTCCAGGTTACCTCATTTACTTCTAAGACCTGTCCATTAGAAATGTGGGTACTTTTCTTATTGGCTCAACTATCTTATGTAGCTCAAGAATGCAGTTAATTTAAGAATTGTAATTCACATTTGCTCAGAACTATGTACTTATCCCTAATGCAGTAACTCAAATTCACACATCCTAAATGGTCCCTATTTAACCTTTATTATTCCAAAGAAGGACACTTGTGACAGGGATCTTTAGCAGGTTTCTTAGTGGCTAAATATATGGCATCTCTTTTCTCACAAATACTTTTTGTAGACACAGCTATAGCAGGTTGTAGGCACACACAGCGCGGCATGTGTGTGATTTCATTGAATGTGTCGTAAGGGGTTTTCAGTGTATAGTCCAGGTGCTATACACAAACAAGAGATGTTTTTCTTTTGTAGTTTCCAGCCGCTTTCACTTCTGATATTCTTGTTGCATTAATATACTTTTTTACAGGGTGGTTTTTTCATTCAGGAGTATTAATAATAGTTTTTACTTTTTTTAAAAAATTCAGATGACATGAAAATGGAGACTGATGTTAAGAGAAACAAGAAGAGTCTTCTAGACCAGCATGGACAGTACCCCATATGGATGAACCAGAGGCAGAGAAAAAGGCTGAAGGCAAAGCGAGAGAAAGGGAAGGGGAAAAGAAAAGCGAAAGCAGTGAAGGCGGCTAAGGGGTTGGCCTGGTAGACTTTTAAAAAGTGAAACGCGGCACGTGGGGCATCTTTGATTAGAATGTGTACACTGATTTCAGCTTCTACCAAATGAAAACGTTGTTTCCATATTGTAACTGGGCCTTTTTCTTCAGTTCAAACTCAACATAACTCCTTAAATTTGTTTTGGAGACATAAATAAAATATTTTCTTTGATGAGTGAAATCTATATTGATATTTTAATTGTATGCCATTGGTATGTGAGGATTATCAGACATCAAAATTCTACCAAGTACTAATGCAGTTGTGGCTGTTTTGGTATTAATAAAGATAAATGATACACTAACCCAGATTTAAAGAAAACTATATAGCATTATTTAAAAATACAGTATCAGTGGATTTTACAAGTAGTACTTCTTTGAGTTTTGATTTTGTATAATTTATAATAAAAGGTATTTTGTTTAGATCTTGAATATCTTTTCTTTCATTTGGCCTTAAGGTATTATAGTAGTGATGACTAGATTGTTCTTTTAAATCTTTAGGTAGAATATTAACATTCACAAGTTAGTATGATCCATCTTTTAAGGAGATTAGACAGCTTGGGGCCAGGTTTGATGTTTATCAGTCTTTATATTATGTCGCCTAATATAATGCAGGATTTCTCAAAATCAGTTTTTCCAGATTGGTAAGAAAATACATCTCATGGTCACATTATTTTGGCAAAATGCTACATACTTGAAGATACACAAGCAGTATTTACTTAGTGTTGGATTATAGAGATCTAGCAATAAGGAAACTTGTTTAACTTTGAAACTAGTATTCAGTGGAATAGAACTATTCAGTGGAATAGAACACTATTGGAAATGTTGGTAAAGTATTTTGAACTTCACATTTCCTCTGAAATTTCACTGTAATCACATTAACCATCACTTTACATTCATTGGAACAACAGATACTTACTTTGAGTCCTGTTGTGTGCCGGGGACTTTCCCAGGTGCTGGGGCCCAGGGAGCCTCACCGGGCATCAGCTCAGAAGAGGCTGTTGACATCAGAGGAAAACGGGGTTGAGAGTGAGGTCTGTTACAGTAAAGTCAGTCAGTGGTCAGGATACAAATGTGCCAAACTGCAAGGCTGGGGCACAATTTACAGATAAATAGGACCTGACTCAAATCTTTTAGGCGTTTTGAATCTATAAAACTTAATGCCAGTAAAATCTTAAAAATTATTTTATATAATAGACTTTTCTCAATTTACTCAGTGGTTACTTCACTGAAAAGTTAGTGGATAATTTTTAAACAGTAAGTTTTCTCAAGTAAATAGAAGGTGTGAGTTGGAAAATAAATGTCATTCATGGCCTTTTTTGCCTTTTAGTATATTGATGAACAATAAATGGAGTTTGTGAGGAAAAAGTAAGTAAATATGAAGTAAAGTTGGTAACGTTATCTAATTTAGCCACTGACTAAGCCTAAGTATACTAACTAAATTATTTACTTTTTTTTCCCTATTGGGAATTGTCTATATCAGCACTGTTACACGCTTAGTGCTTACTTATATTTTGGCAATATTGTCCAGTATTTTTAACTGTATTTTCCTTAGTTAAGGTCAGAGGTCACTGCCCAGGATATGTATGTACATGTTTTCTGTTGTGGAAAACCTCTAACTGGACTCTAACGGTAGTTGCTTTGAGCTTTCATCCAGGGCCTCCTAATGATGTAGGTATGTTCACTTAAATGTATCTCACATGTGTCACTTAAATGTTGTGAAGTTTGTCCAGTCAGGATTTAACTTCAAATGGACAAAATTGAAAATCAGAACACCACTATCAAAAAACTGACTTGGGAAATGTGTTCTAAGTGTCCTATAGCCTCTGGCAACTGTCTTGCTCCGAGTTGGGTTGCACTGCTGGCCAGATTTTCCTCCAAAGGAGGGCGTTTAGACAGGCATTCAAAGTTGGGTGCAGGGGTACATATGATCACTGGTGCTGCTTTATTCCTAAAGATATAAATGAAGAAATATAGCAACGTCCTTTTATCTTTTAAGGCAGTAAAATTTCTTTTTTTTGACAGTTAATCATCTTTCTATTTGACTCATGGTTTCCAGGGAATTGCTGTAGAACCAGCAGGTGGAGCTCAAGCGAAGCACCAAATCATTTTTGGAATTAGACTGAGTGTGCTAAATCACATTCTGAATAGACGTAACATTTTATTTTTGTTTTTTAAAGAAATTAAAATATTTAAGGATAATCAAAATTGCTTTCATTTGATCAGTTGCTTCATATGTCCGGCCTTAGTGTAAATTATTTAATCCTAAACTGTTCAATTAAAATTATTAACTATCCAGCAATCAGTGAGTTGGCTACCAATACTATTTCTATTACACATGGGGAAACTGAGGCACACAGTCCCCACAGTTAAAACTGGGAGAGGTGGGACTCAAATACAGACAGGCTCCAAAGCCTATAATCTTACAATGCTACTTTGCCCACAAAGAATGTGCAGATTTTCTAAGAAAGAAAGGTAGTTTTAGGAGGGAGTACCTATTATTGATTCAATCCATGATGCAAGCTTAGGACCAGACAAAGAGCACATTTTAGGAGAGAAATGATTTATAGACCCCTTCTGAAATCTCTGGGCCTAAACGGGACCAGAGTTCCCCAGGTAGCACTCCCCTAGAATGAGCTGACCCAACCCCAAAGATGAAGTCCAAGATTAGTAGTGCTTGAGCTACTACTAATCAAAGAAGAAATAGGAACTGCAGTTAAAACTCTAAGGTAGAATAAAATAACAATTTTGATCCCTTCTTTTTTTTTTCTAATGTCACATTGATGTACGTTCCTTTTCCTCTACTAGTTCACATGCTGTCTATCATAAATGTGTAGCAGAGTATATTCACTTATTAGAGAGTTTGGATGTTTTCAAAATTTGAATTTTAGCTGGGATATGATTTTTAGGAGTTGGAGGATAAAAAAACTGGCTAATAATGACTTGATTTAAATATCTGAAATGAACTGGATAATGATGGGAAGGGGTAGTGATGTGTGGTTTAGACCAGTGAAGTGTTAGCCACAAAATAAGATAAATGGGAGAAGTACAAAGAGGCTTCAAGGAATTGCTAAATTTATAAATACTTCTACTGAAATGCAGATGTTTGGCCTGTTGACTAAGCTTACTATTTAAGTGACTGACTTCTGATGCCACCTGGCATCGTGTTAGGCATAAGATGGAATTCTGTTGCCCTGTATTTGCCAGCATATAGAAATACCATTGCAACAGATGCATACCAATTTTACAAGGAAGGGTTTGGAGGGGAATGGGAGCTGTTAAGTACTCACACCAGGTCAGCGGCCCCTGCTGTGCTCAGGACCCCATAATGTAGCAGGAAAGCCGGGGCCATATTTGTGCCTGCCTACGAAAACCCTACATTTTCTACAGTTCAATGCCAAGGGTCTTCTCCACCTGTTTTAGAGCAGGAGAAAAACAGAATGTGATGACATATAAGACTCATTTGGTACAGAGAATAAGGAGTATAGACAGTAGGTAGAAAATAGACGGGGGAGGGCAAGAATAGTAGGGGAAGTATAGAATCTAAAGAACTTGTGACACATGGACATAAACTAAAGAGGGGGGAATGGTGGGGGAGGGGGTATGCAGGGTGGAGGGGAATGAAGGGGGGAAATGGGACAACTGTAATGGCATAATCAATAAAATAAATTAAAAAGAAAAAAGACTCATTTGGTAGATTAATAATAATAACCAACATTTAGAGACAGCATCCTGTGTTAAACACTTTACCTATGTTATTTCATTTAACCCTTTAAAACAGTGCTGTGGGATCAATACTTTTCTTCTTCCTCTTTTCAGATGAGGAAACAGTTTTGAAGAGATGAGTAAACTTGCCCAAGTTCATGCCACCATTAACTAGTGAGCAGGACTGCTTCAGAATGGAGCCCAAATGAATGCATGTGACAAGAAGCTTCAGAGACAGACTGATTGAACCTAAGAAGAACTTAACCAAGATGTTGGGCGGTGGAACAGGCAGCCTTAGGAGCACTGACTGCCCTGTGCAGCTATGGCTGGAGAGCCACCTGGTGGGAAGGTAGCAGAATGGATTCAGATGATGTATAGCAATCCCCCCTTACCTGCAGGGGATACAGTCCAAGATCCCCAGTGGGTACCTGAAACTGCAGAGAGTATTGAGCCCTGTATATACTATGCTTTTCCCTGTCTATACTGAAACTATGGTAAACTTAATTTATATATTAAGCACAGTAAGAGATGAACAACAACTAATAACAAAATAGAAACTTTGTAACAATACAGCTGGCCCTGGACAACACGATTCTAACCTGTGAAAGTCCACTTACAGGCAGGTTTTTTTTTTTTCTTTACAATAAATACACAGTCAGCCCTCCTTGTCCCTGGGTTTCGAATTTGCAGATTCAACCAACCACAGATTGAAAAAACTGGTTTTGATCTGCAGTGGGCAATCCAGGGATGCAGAAGGCCAACTGAATGTGCTGGTCCACACTACTCCATATACAGGAATTCAGCATAGCAGATTTGTGAGGGGGGGAGCGGCGGGGAGGGGTCACGGAACCATTTCCCTCAGATGCCAAAGAACAACTGTATTTAAGTTTTTGGAGAGTCCAAGTTATACAACATTTTTCAACTGTGTGGGAGGTGGGTTTGGTGCCCCTAACCTCTGCATTGTTCAAGGCTCAAGTGTACACTGTAATAAAAGTTACGTGAATGTGGTCTCTCTCAAATATCTTCCTGGACTGTGTGTACAGTGTGGATGCATGAGACGAAGGGAGATTCCTGTCTTCGGCAGGAGGGAGGCTGGACAGCTCAGGTTTCATCACGCGACTCAGAACGGCGTGAATTGTTTATTTCTGGATTTTTCCATTTAATATTTTCAAACCACAGTCAACCACAGGTAACTGAACTACAGAAGTGAAACCTCAGATAAGGGGAGACTACCGTACATGGAATTTGGGTTGAAAGCTGCTGAAGTCCTTTCCAGTCAAGAAATGCTTTGCAGGAAGTTGTCACATCTGACATGTATTGTGCTTGCTTTGCTCTCTCTCTCTATAGTCTTTTGGCACTACATGATTGCAGGCTTTAGTATCTTCTTGTGGAAATAACAAAATTTGAAACCTTCTTAAATTTGTGAATGTTAAGTCTGGCATTCATTCCACTAAGTTCCACTTTAAACTTTGGAAAAAT